CTAACAAACCTGAGGAGGAAGTCATGGGACCCTCTGCCCGTTGGTCAGAAGCACAGGTGATAATCTGGACTTATGATTGGCATCTGAGTGGGAGGGGCAGTCGTGTGGGACCAAGCCCTTAACCTGTGGGATCTGATGCTATCTGCAGGTAGATAGTGGAAGAATTTAGCTAAATTTGTAGGCCACCCCGTTGGCGTCTGCTGAGAATTGGAGAATTATTTGCTTGGTGGTATTGAAAGAACACATATTGGAGTGGCATGGTTGAGAATGCAGTGTGGGCTCTTGGGTCAGCATGGGTTTTCAGGGAGGATGCCACCTGTCACTGGTATGTGGCTTGAGCAGGTTACTTGGCCTCTCTGTGCCTCTATTTCTTTGACTGTCAGATAGTAAGAATAGTGTCATCTACCTTAATTTATTTGGTGGATTTTTCTCGAGCTCCTACTGTGTGCAGGCTATAATGGTGGCCACTGGGGGTATGGGACAGTGAACAAACATATGACCCTGGTCTTGGCAAGGAGGGACAGAGTGTAAACCAGCCAACAGACAAGGAAAAATAGGATTTGCTGGAGAGGGAGCTGATGGCCAGCAGGGAGGTCATGGGAAGCCTCATCTCACAGTTGAAAAGTGGGAGCCGCCCATTGGGCCAGAGGGAATGGAGAAAGCTCTGGGATCCTGGTAAATGTGCCAGAAAGGGGGTACGAGGCAAGGTGGGCAGCATGCAGCCAAATCACTAGTTGGCAGAGTGGTACGTGGGCGCCCAGCCCTTAGGTCAAGGTGTGGTAATGTCCTTCATTGAAAATAGCATTGTCATGGGGCTGGAGCGTCTGGGGTATGAGGAGGAAGGCTGGGTTACCAAGAATCCTTGGAAAGGACACCAAGTCAGGCACTTGGAACCCACGTTCCCCAGGCAAGCTGCCCTCAGGTGCCACGGGGACACAGGCATCCTGAGACCAAGACGCACAGCCCTGCTCCACTGTGGGTCATGGTGAGATGCGGGTCCCATTTATGAGAGCTCCATCCTCATGACCTAATCACCCCTCAAAGACCTCAATTCCAAATATCATCACATTGGGGGTTAGGTTTTCAACATGTGAATGGGGTGGGGCACAGACATTCAATCTGTAGCAGGGTCCCTAACCCTGGTCTCTTGATAAAGTTGGGTTAAAAAAATAATCTCTGTAGCTAAGGATTCAAGCAGTGCAGATGTTTTTGGGAAGAATGTGGAGATCCCCACTTTACTCTTCCTAACCCTCTCCCCACCTCCTCAGAGGTTCCCACCAGCAGTTTGGTGTGGATCCTTTGAGACCCTTCATTTAGTCGAATTCCTCTGTGCTCCCTGCTGATCTGTGTTTTGCCTTCACTCTGATTCCCTGGAGACCTTTGCTTGGCCTCGTGCCTTCCTCGGAAGGGTTGGTTAATTTAAGTAATTTAGAATCTTCTATTTTTCTGTTGTAAACCATGGCCATTGCACACATGTGTACTACACACACATTTGAAAGCAGAATGGACAAAGCACAAGAGAACCCCATAAGTCCACTTGGCTCACTCTGTGGCCCGTGAGGAAGGGACAGCACCTACCCACCTCCTCCGGTCATCACATAGCTCGTGGCTGTGATTTTCCTCATCTGTGGAAGATGATGAACATGTGTCCTGCACCTGCCATGTGCAAGTGAAAATGGGGCCGTGTGCAAGGGAAAATGGGGCTGTGTGCAAGGGAAGATGGGGCCGTGTGCAAGTGAAAATGGGGCCGTGTGCAAGGGAAAATGGGGCCGTGTGCAAGGGAAGACGGGGCCGTGTGCAAGGGAAGACAGGGAATGCTGGGAAGACTCCCAGGAAGGGGCTCCCATTCTTTGTTTCAGTGGCTGTTCACCTCTTTGTTTTCCAGGTTCACCTACTTACAGGTGTTCACTGCGGCTGCTGGCCGCTCATGCTGTCTGCTGGCCACTCACGCTGGCCACTCACCCTGGCTGCTGGCTACACACGGTAGCCCATGGCAACCCACTGCAGCAGGGGCTGCAGCCTACGCCTTCACTGGCGACTCACGGCAGCCCAGCTCCAGGTTAAGCTGTTGTTCAGCATCTTAGCTGTGGAGGGCAGTGTCACTGGCCCTCATATGTGGGATCCGAACCGGGGCCCTCTGGCGTCCTAAGCCAGCTCTTAACCAATGCGCCACTCAGCCGGCCCGAGAATTTTAAAAGTGAGGGTTTTTCTTCTGATTTGGATCAGCATTACAAATACCCAGTTGATCAAAAAACACAAATATTAGTTTTTATAAATAACAAATACTGAAAAACATTGAACATGTACCTCTTAACTGGATGGGTTCCTTTTCCTCCCAGTTAATTCATGTACTCACATTGAACATATCCTACTGCTGGAATGAGACACGTGAACATCAGTTCTACTTCTGTTTTTCATTTTAAGTTGAGAAACCTTGTTCATATATGAGTAAATCAGTAGATGGGAATCAACGGGTTTGACGTAGCAATAGCATGTAATTTTATTATTTGCAAAAAAACACAAAGATCACATAAAGATCTAATACCTAAAAAATTGTTTATCATTTACCAGCTGACAGCTTGATCAAGTAAGTCCCTCGAGCTCCTAGTAACAGCTTTATTGCAATATAATTCCTACTATCAAACCCACCCTTTTAGAGTGTACAATTCAGTGGTTTTTCCAGAACATGGTTCCAGTTTTGTGATATTACAACCACTGCTGCAACACACATCCTTGACCCATGTCTCCAATCTTTTAAAAATAACTTTTCTTGTTTTAAAGTAATACAGGTGAATTGTAGAAAATATATAAAATACAGTTAAAGCCAAAAAAAAAGTAATACTCATCCACTGCCTCTTAACCCAGAGGTTTTAGTTTTTATAGCATTTATATCTCTGAAGTTAGTAAATCTTAAAACTGTACTGAGATGTGGGGGCCTCCTGTGTATAGTACATCAGGTCGTAAAAAGTACTCTGGAGAGGAATAAAGCAGAGAAGGGGAATGGGGGAGGTTGGTCAGCAAATAGGGTAGAGGGGTGGAGGTTGTAAATTTAAAAAGGAATGATCAGAAAAGGGCTTGCTGAGAAGGAAACATGAGGTGAAGGGTCAAGGCAGAATTCTTGGGGAAGAACTTCATGAGCAGACGAAACAGCAAGTGCAGAGGCCCTGGGGTATGAATGGGGTTGGCAGGGTCTGCACTGTATAGGACCTTGCAGGCCATGGGGAGGAGCTGAGGACTTATTCTGGTGTGATTAGGAGGTCTTCCGAAGTTTGCGAGCAGTGGGATGTGGGAAACAGGCTTTGGGGCTAGGTGAGAGTGGGGAGACCAGTGGAGTGGGTTACAGTAATCCAGGCAGGAAATGCTGGGACTTTGACCAGGGTGGTGGCCACAGAAACATGTTAGGATCAGGAGCCCAGAGAGGAGAAAGAAGAGGGAAGCCTGTTGTGTTAACACATCGAGGACGGGGCATTTAAATATATAGACGCAAATCTGCGTTAACGGTCCACAATTAATTATCTTTTGCCCAGTAACAAATTAAAATTTTAGCTCTTTATAACAATAAGTGCATATTACCTCACAGTTTCTGTGGGTCAGGAATCGGGGAGTGGCTTAGCTGATGGTTCTGGCTCAGGGTCTCCCATGAGGTTGCAGTCAAGCTGTCAGCTGGGCTGCAGGATCTGCTTACCGAGTAACTCCCCCCAAGGCTGGCAAGTTGATGCCGGGCTGGTGGTTGGAGGCCTCAGTTCCTCACCATGTGGACCTCTCCATAGGGCTGGCTGAGTGTCCTGACAACATGGAGGCCGGTTTCCCCCAGAGCCTCAGGAGCCTCGCTCCACCCTTTCCACAGTATCCTGCTGGTTACACAGGTCAGGCCTATTCAGTGTAGGTAGGAAGAGTCTACCCAGAGAAATGAATACCAGGAGGTGAGAACCATGGTTTTCTTGGAGGAGGGCTGCCTCACCCATTTTCTGCCTATGGAGAGGAAATTCTGGGAACTTGTGGGATATGATGTGGTTGGGCCTTGAGGGTCCCCAGGAGGTTGGAGCAGGAGGTTCGGAGCCAGGGACCTGTCCCTTACCTTGAAGGCCTTGCAGGGACGGCCTGGCTTCCATGCCTGATTCTGCCTTTTCCCAACCTTCCATCCAGACCAGTTCCAGCCTCAGTCCTCACGGGGGAGTCAGATATGAATGAAATAGTAACTGTGGTCAGTGCCGAGGTAAAAAAAAAGTACTTGAGGCTCAGATTTGGGAGTGGGGAACTGACTTAGCTGGGACCAGGGAACGTGTAATAGTCTGCTAGGGCTGTTGTAACAAAGTGCTATGAATTGGGTGGCTTAAAACAACAGAATTTAGTCTCACAGTTCTGGAAGCTGAAGTCCAAAATCAAGATATCGACAGGGTTGGTTCCTTCTGCGGGCTGTGGGGGAGGATCCTTACTTGCTTCTTCCAGGTTCTGGTGGCTCCAGTTGTTCACGGGCTTGTAGCTACATCACTGCAATCTCTGCCTCCGCTGTCGCACTTCCTTCTTCCCTGTGTGTCTCCGTGTCCAAACCTCCCTCTTTCTCTTGTGAAGACTGGTCACTGGATTTAGGGCTCACCCCAGTGTAGTCTGACCTCCTCTTAACTTGATTACATCTGCAAAGACCCTATTGTCGAATAAGGCCACAGGTACGGTAGGTTAGGACTGGGACATATCTATGTGGGGGACACAACTCAACCTGCTACAGAAGGAAGTGATGTTGGAATTGAGGACTGGATGAGTCCCTGAGCAGGGAGGAGAGGTCTGGGAGAGGGAAGGGTGTGGGGCAGGTACAGAGGTGGAATGGGCCGGGTGGAAGGGCTGAGGCCTGTGTCTAGAGCGAGAGCCGGAGGGACGGCCTGTGCTGGCTTCTCTGTGAACAGGGCCTTTTCTCAGGGCCGAGCCTCTCTGGCCATCAGATGTTCCCACTGGGTTGTTTCAAGCCTTAATCTACAACTGTTTTTGTTTTTGTTTTAAACCAGGAAACTACTTTGCTTCGCACTTTTTCATGGGAGGTGAGAAATTCGACACCCCCCACCCTGAAGGTTACCTCTTTGGCGAGAACATGGATCTCAACTTCCTGGGCAATCGCCCGGTCCAGGTGGGTCTCGACGGGGCTGGGTAGCTCTTGCCCTCATCCATCTGTGTCTCAGGTGCAAAGATGAATGGGCATGACCCAAACAGGGCAGAGCCACCAGCTGAACGTGTGGACATGATCTTGCTTGGTGATGGCCCCTTAGAGGCCGGGCGGCCAAGGGTGGGTCACTGGGGGACAGAGCAGCTGCTGCTGAACCTGGTGCATCCGGGCTGTGGGGTTATAGAAGGTTATGGTTTTGATCCCAGGCCTCTTGGATGACTTTCTTTAAAAAGAGAAAGAGAACATCCATGTTCCATGTGGTCAAGAGATGCGATCCAAAGGAGAAATTCAGATGGCTGGTGAACATTTTCTGCAAGTCGCTTTCACCAGTCACCCAGTCACCAGAGGAGGCATGTTCATGCACTGCTGTCCATTCATTCAATGCCCATTTGGCACTTGCGTCGTGACTGGGACCCTTCCAGGGGTGCAGGGAGCAGAGGACAGATCCTGCCCTGTTCCCTGGGGGGGGTGCAGATAGTAAAGAAGAGAATGTTTAATGGATAGGGACTAAAAAGAGAGAAGGGGGTGAGAAAGGGTTTTTGAGAGGGGATGCTGAGTGAGGTGTTAGATCCCCAGTGTGGCCGAGGGGAAAGGCGCAGGTCCTGTCAGCAGACACTGGATTCTGTCCCCTAAGGCTGCTGAGTTCTGGGGCCTCCCTGGGCCTGGAATGGGGGATCCCCTGGACCCGGGGCTCCGGGGCTGTTTTAGCTTCAGAGCAGCTGATTGACACAATATCTTGATTTTTT